GCTAGCTTGCTGTTGCACATGTATGTATGAAACTTCGCTGAGGCCTGGAGCCTCAGACGGCATCACTAGGCAAAGCAAGGTAACCAAGCTAGCATGCAAGCACCAGTTTACCTAGTCACACAAACATACATGAAAAGAAAGACATGTTACGTATTGTGATTTGCTCCGTCTCGTGGGTGAAACAATGCGGTCGGTGCTTCTCAGAAGGACTCAGGAGTCGAAAGCAGTAGCCTGGCTGCTACCACGGAAGCCTGGCATCTCAGCAGATGCGCAAAGTCGACGATATTTCGCAGAATCGGCTGCATATTATTTCCAGGGCGTCTACCCTCTGTCAACTCTCATGCGGCACCGTCACTCTCTGTAGCTACCTGGAGGCTCTCACCAAAGTGCTCGTAAACCTGCTCGCCCAGCTACAGTGATAATGCCCAGGAACACCGGTAGTGCGTGGTAACAACGAGATTCAACATCAAACAGAATGCTTGGTGGACAGGTGAGTGCCGTACCAGGTTTTTATGTGCATCCGCCGCTGTCTTTGCAGCAGCAGGCAACAAAGATACCGCTCAAGACTAAAGACATATTAGCCCGCCCTGCAGATCTGTAACAGGCACAAGCCGTTGGCAGCAAGTGCAAAGCACCCTATTCAACCCTATACAGAGACGTTTCCGTTTCATGCTCCAGTTGATTTCCATATCTTTCTGCAGTACTTGCATTTCCCTACAAACCCCTATACTGTATCTCCGTACTATCCCCCATAAAACCCACATATTTGTAATATGCACTGAAGCATGGCGCGGGGACCGTCTGTCGGTGCTGCTGGTAGGCAGAGAAGAGGTCTTTCTGCGCGCCTGAAAGCACACAAGCAGCAGTCTTCGAACTACCTGTAGACTGGGGCCCTCCAAGAACGAGGGTTCCCCTATATACCCCCAGAATACTGCCTCCCGTAGCCCCTGTGAAACCCCTATATCCCCCTTAAAGGAACCCCCCAAGCTACCCAAGTTGATGGAAATCCCTTGGCATGTCTGCTGGGCTCGCGGCTGGCCACACCTCTTCCTACCGAATGCTGTGAAACAATTCCAGATCTCTCGCCTGCGCTCTGCCTGCGATGCTTTGTGCCGAAAACTCGCCGCAACTTGTTGTTTGGGATTTACGGTTGTTTTGCGTTTAGGGCTTAAGGGTTCTGATTTCTTATTATTGGGAGCACTCATGTCCTTCTTAGGCGTGTACTAGAAGGAAAACTGTACAATCGTCTATGACTGATGAGCTTCTGCTGGAACACTGCAGATGGGTTGCCAACTTCAAAACAAGCTCGCACCTTGACACAACCGAACTACGCAGCTGGGCAGACTGGCCTGGCCTGCAAGTGCCAGGAAGATTCATGGGACTACCTCGATCAGACCTGGGACATGCGGGTGTTCAAGATCAGACTGAAGCTCCAGAGCGATGCACATCAGATCAACTTGACTGACCACCGATTGCGAAAAAACAGGCAACGACTCTGAGTATGAGGCCCGTGCTTGGAGCCATTGTCCCAAAAGGCATCAAAGACCACGAAGTTGTTGTTTTGGGGCTGAGCAAGACGTGTCCACAGAGCGTGAATGGCACCCTTCCATCCATGTTGGGCGACGCCTTGTGCTTGCAGAGCCCGTAGTGCTTCTGCAAGAACCCCAAGAGCTTGGGCGACGGTCGGTCATATCCCATCTGCTCCTTTATAACAACATGAAAAGCACGCGCTTCTTCTTCCTAGCTCTCCAACACATGCCAGGAGAGCTGGAAAGATGCGTTCACGCTGAATCATGGCATCGAAGAGATGGTGACCGAAGCCAGCACGCTGGCACCTGCCACACACAAGACGTCAAGGAGAACACGGCTGGCACTTGCCGGGAGCACTTCTCATGCACGTAGAAGTCTAAAGCGCACCTGACAACAGAGAGCAAGTTCCGGTTCTGTTCAAACAAGTACACGGGTGCCGGACAAAGGCTCAATCTCCTGGAAGGCATTTCGAACCTTTGCACAACTGTACTCTGGCATTTTCCTTCATGAAAGGCGTTTGAGCTCGTGGCATCTGCAAAGTCATTCCTTCTAAAGGGAGCCTCTACAAACAGTCGCTTCCGTCCAACCTGCCAGAGGCAGTTAAACATGGGCTGAAACTGCCGGATGCAGGAGCGAAGCGAAGCTGCCTTAAGGACACCAAGGGCTTTTCTCCCCTCCACAAGCAGGTACACACGCTGGTCTCCCAGGATTGCACCACACCTCAGAGATCGAGTCACCGCTTATGGTATACATGGACACTTCATGGCAGTGCTCGAGGCCAGGTGCTATCTGGTAGCTTCCGAAATAGGGGGACCCCAATATAGACCCCAGTATACTACAGTCTGTATTATTGGGACCCCCATAAAGGTACCGCTATTTTGGGAAACCTCCATCTGAGCGCAAAACGTTACGGGTTTTCTCAAGCCCTGGGCAGTTGCTGATCGCTTTCCCATCTCCTGATCTTAACGCAGGTCTGGCTAGAGCTACAGCACCCCGAACGCCAGACCTCAAGCGCGCATGCCAGCGCTCCACTGCTGTCATTTCGGAGACGGCTTTCATCAACGAGACCCACGAACCTGCAACTTTGCAAGAAGTTAGCTGTGGCCATGGCCTCATGTACTGGGCACCGGGCAGCCCTCCGCCTGGAGCACCCAGTAAACCCGCCACGTCGAAGTCAAACTCCATCAAACCTTCACACGAATAGTTTCGCCAAGTGGACTCATCCTGACACTTATGAAGCATACCTGGTGGCTCGCCACACAGCCGCCTCTGGAGCTGGCGACGCAGCGCTATGCAAGAAATACTCAAAAGCTCGTTCCTGCTGTAGCTGTTTCTAAACCTCATTTCGTTAGATAACAGGCCTGCATCAGCTGGATACCCCGGTCTGGCTTGTGACTAAACTGACGATGATGCATATGTTCTGCATGGGGACTGAACCATCTGCGGCACGTCTCTGGTTGAAACGCTGTGGGAAACCAAGAAGCCGTAAGCAGCTACGTAGAATTTTCCGAACGGTGGGAGTGGACACATGCGGCTGATTGACAAATACTGGTACAAAAGAAATCGAAAAGGATATCTGTCGGATTTACGTTGTCGTACGCTGTAGGACAGAAAATCAAGAGCAACTTAAGGGGGACTATACCCCCAATATATACACTGGAAAAATATAGTAGTTTCCATGGTCTTTTCCATTATCCCTAGATTAGTAGCAGCAGTACCCGAGGTGGAAGCAACCAAAGCAACCACCGCTGCAAGGCTGCTGCTGTACCACCAGCAGCGGCAACAACACAACAAAAACGAAACCAACAGACATGTGAGGGTCTCCACAAAATTAGGGTACCATTACGGGGGTCCCAAAAAGAAGGATTATGGTACATTGGCATATTGGGGTCTATATTGGAGTCCCCCTATTTAGGGAAACTACTGCGTAAATTCCACCACGAACCCCAACGACACCGGCAGTCGACAAAGAGCGAGTGGATCAACAACATGAAGCCAACAAGAAAAGCAGTGGCAGCTATAATCTTCATCGTTATCCCAGATGCGTAACATCGGGAATGACGCTTGAAGTTCTAATCAGAAGACCAATGTCAACAGGATTGCAAGAAGCAAGGTGATACAAGAAAAAATTGTAAACCCCAAACTCTAAAGCCTAGAACAAGCCTTGATTTTAAAATGTGTGCTTCTTGTAGGCGGCGCAATTCAGCCTTGGACTCCAAAACCTTCGAAATCCAGGTGCCAGGGCCAAAGAACATGTGAGCTATAGTCTTAATCCTGGTATCCCCCTTAATAACCAATATAATGGTCCTCTGTATAATCCCCTGTATAGCCCCTTTTAAGGAGTTTAGACTATGGCTCATTTTGAACCAGAGGGTTGACGGTTTGGGGTTTTGGTAAGATCCCAAATAAAGGATACCTAACGAGCATTTACAGGGGTTTTATAGGACCTCGGGAGGATTTTGGTAACACCAACCCTCAGACCAAGCATGCAACTATCCTTTGACATCATGGGATCCGAATGTTTGGAGGTTGTGGTTACTCACACAAGACCTCGAAATCGTGCCTTTTTTCTCGCTGTCCAAGGCCATTGCTCTGTTTCCGTCAGTTGCGGAAAACAGTTGTGCCAAACACTTTCCAAGATCCCTAAAGCGAGGTTTAGGGTTGGGGTTTGCTCTTGCATGTGGCTCATAAAGTTATGGTTCCATACAATGGTGTGCCACTGCAATAGGAACCCTAACCCTTCAACCCTAATCCCACCTCAACTAAGGGATCCTAGATCTCAATGCTCGGGGCCTTGTAGGCAAATTTACGGCCAGATCTTGAACCTAAGGAACTTCCGGTCCGGAAAGGTATGCAACCGGCAGTGGGTCCCAAATTGGGCAGCTCCCAGAAAGCACTATGTGGATGCACAGGTGGTCCAATCAAGATCACACGTCAAAAGCTCGCTCAAGCACCGTTTTCATCTGCACATCCAATCAGCGCAGCAAGTGGACTCAAGGGGCCCCTACGTTTGAGCCGGTCAGTTGCGCGGCGCACAAGCTACGTGCTTACACTTCCAAGGAGTGCAGCACAGCTTTAACTTTCACAGCTCCCCGGACTTCGTCCTTGGAAGTTTATCTCCGGTTATAGCCTAGAGCTTTACGCTCTTCTCGTTTGTTCTCTAGGCTCTCAGCTTCAGCAACGATCTGGTACTCGCCGGAGATCAGGAGCTGGTACAACGCCTCGAGGTTGCCGTTCTTCTTGGTGAGACCGTCCACAATCATCTGAGGATGAGGCACCCAGCGGATCTTGCCCTTGATGGAGTTCATCAACTGTCTCACGACTTGTATCTCTAGAGAGGTCCGCTTATCCTGGGAAGGGCCCACACTCTCCCTTGAAAGGTGGTCGAACAAGGCCTTCGCATCCACTATAGCCAGGCACTCCTTAAGCTCAGAGCTGGACGAGCTCTGTCTCCCACTCCGCCAGGTTAAACTCGGGCCTCGTCAGCTCATTGAAGATGGAAACCACCCAGCACAGCTCGCCAAGCCCTTTCGAAAGACTCTGGGTCTCAGCCGCCAACGTCGAGTTGACCTTATGAAGTTGCCAGAGTTCCAAAATAGTATTCGCATGAAATAAATAAATCTACAATCACTCATATATATACAGGCAGTAGCTCAGCTAACCGCGTGAGGAGTGGTGAACACAACGGAGTGCATATTCCGGCAAATGTTCGCAACAAATATTATCAATCAAATCGTTCGTCAATAGTATGAACAATCAGTAACATAGCAATCAAGCATGCAGACGATCTGAAGTTTTTCATTTCCAGCGCACTGGGGGTAAATCACCCCCACGTAGCTCCTTGGTTTCACCATGGACGCACTTTGCATAGTCTTTCCCCGGGTTGAGTGGGTGGGACAAAAATTCTCTGCCCTAAGGCGCATACCTTGAGATAGGAATCGGGCACAGAAATTATCAACACAAATCCATGGCACGCAATACAGCTTTCACATGTAAAACATGTTTCACCGGAAAGCATTTTCGTGGGTACCATGGAAACGTGTTTTTGTTTTTGGTAAAACACAAATTATTTTGGAACCGCTTTCTAAACACTGAAAGCTATCTGGCATTTCATAAAATAATATCGCGCGCGCACGACAGGTGTCTTATGAAGTTGCCAGAGTTCCAAAATAGTATTCGCATGAAATAAATAAATCTACAATCACTCATATATGTACAGGCAGTAGCTCAGCTAACCGCGTGAGGAGTGGTGAACACAACGGAGTGCATATTCCGGCAAATGTTCGCAACAAATATTATCAATCAAATCGTTCGTCAATAGTATGAACAATCAGTAACATAGCAATCAAGCACGCAGACGATCGGAAGTTTTTCATTTCCAGCGCACTGGGGGTAAATCACCCCCACGTAGCTCCTTGGTTTCACCATGGACGCACTTTGCATAGTCTTTCCCCAGTCCGCTTTAGCATCGATCTAGACAAGGCTGCTGAGCATCTTCTTGCACAGAGGGCACACTGGGCGTTCAACAGTCAGTTTCCACACTGCGAGCTCGTCTGAGGATCCACGGCTCGGTGGATCTGCCACATTGGATTTGGAAGGGACTCGAGCAAACCAAAGGAACATAGGCAAACGCTCCTCTGGGTTTTCCAACACTAGCAACAGCTCTCTCCAGAGGCGCACACTAGAATCCCCTTTAACCAAGGAGTCTAAAGCCGGCCAAGAATCCACGAACAGGATGATCCGCCGGCCTTCGAGGTGCCTCCTCCAAAACCTTAAAACCAAGATGGCCGCATAGAGCTCAACGAGACCTAGGCACCATTGATCCGAACACCGAGGCACATCCGGGCTTCTTTGGATCAAACAAAACACCGCCCACTGTAGCGGAGGCGCCAAGATTTGAATCCTCCTCCAGAGCCCCGTCTGTGAAACAATCATGGGTTTCTCCTGCCAAGCGGCGTGGATGGTGCGGGGCTTTCCAGTTATCAAGCGATTTCTCAGCAGCTTGATGGCTTCACGCCGGATGGGTCAAGAGACACGGGCACCCTAGAGAAACTGCCATGTGACCTAAGATCTCTTAGGGCCATGCGGCCAGCCCTTCCCCAGACCTGGGCGTCTGCGTATTGTTCTTGATGATGTTCTTGCTAGCGGAAGAGTCATTCCGT